ATTCTCAAAAGTTTCATCCTTAGTCTTCTGGATGAATACCCATAACTTTCTGGAATAGTCATCTACTATGGATAGAAAATACTTTGCTCCTGAATGTGATGGACACCTTGCAGGCCCCCAAAGATCAGCATGGATGTAATCAAGGGATCCATGTGTTCTTTGTTTGCCTTTGTTGAACTTCATTCTACAGGATTTTCCAAGTACACAGGGTTCACAAAACTTCAGCTTTTCGACTTTATCTCCACCAAGCAGATTTTGTTTCCCTAATTCGACCAGACCCCTTTCACTGACATGGCCCAATCTCATGTGCCAAATTTCTGTCTTCGACAAAGGTTTCGTGGATGCAACATTTGTCGAACCACTTACAACTTCAGCCTCAAGGGTATACAAGCCTTGTTTCTTCACGCCTCTCAAGACTTCCTTCGACCCTTTCATGACTCTCAGGATACTTTTCTCTCCTTGAAAAACATATCCTTTCTTGTCGAATTCACCAAGAGAAATCAAATTTCTCTTCAAATCAGGTACATACCTGACTTCAGTCAACAATCTTATTGACTCATCATGGAGCTTGAATCTCACAGATCCAACGCCTGCAATCTTGCAAGCTTTGTTGTTTCCCAGCAATACAGATCCACCATCTTGATCACATAATTCCTCGAACAAGTCTTTGTTTGGAGTCATGTGCCAAGTGCATCCAGAATCCATAATCCACTCCTTCGACGAGTTGTTGCTTGAAACCACAAGAACATCAGATGATTCGAAATCATCTTGGACAATAGCTGCATTTCCATTATCCTTTCCTCCATGATCTTTCAGGCGTTCAGGGCACAGCTTTCTTGTGTGACCTACTTTCTTACAGTGATAGCATCTAATACCAGATGCGTCACCACTATAAGACTTCGACTGATTTTTACCTTTCTTCCTGTCGAATTTTCCTTTAACGGCCAAACCTTCACCAACCGTCGAAGGTTTATGCTCCTTACGTTCGTTCAAGTCCTTAGAGTACAGAGCTGATTGAACTTCTTCAAAGGTCAGGGACTCTCTTCCATACAAGAGGGTTTCTTTGAAGTGAGCATGTGATCTGGGCAAAGCGCACAATAATAACAGCGCTTGATCTTCATCATCAATCTTTACATCAATGTTTTCAAGATCAAGAATCAGCTTGTTGAACATATCCAACTGCTCAGCCAACACTTTGTCTTCAGTCATCTTGAATGAATACAAAGCTTGCTTCAGGTAGAGTCGATTTACCAGAGATTTGGTCATATACAAACTTTCGAGTTTCACCCATAATCCTGATGCCGTCGTCTCTTTTGATACCTGTCGAAGAACCTTATCACCAAGGCTCAACAAAATTGCGCTGTGTGCTTTCTCGATCATGGCCGTCTTCTCTCTTTCTGTTAACGCAGCGTCCATCGCCGTCGCTCCCTTCAACGCTTCCAAACAACCCTGCTGAACCAGTAGGGCTTTCATCTTCAAGCGCCACAGACCGAAATCATTCACTCCGGTGAACTTTTCGATCTCATACTTTGTCGAAGGCATCTTCTCCACGCTCACCGCACCAATTTGTTGTGAATTCAATGCCAATAACAAAGTATAGAATCAGGAGGAATAAGGAACAAGGAAGAAGAAGAACACAAGAATTGGTTATAACTGCTATTCTTTACTTTCTCTTAGAAAACAAGATTACAAGTTTACAAGAATAACAAATAACCCTCTCACCCTAAATTAGGATTTGCTGTTGTGCAATGATGAGAGACTAGTATGCTATTTATAATAAAACCTAACATACTAAATAATGGGCTTTTTCCACAAGGCCCATTATACAAGCTAACTTAACAAACAAGCTAACTTAACAAATTAGGGTTTAAACACTAAAACCTAATTCGACAAGCATCCTTCGACAAATACATGCTAGAACCTTCTTCGACTACAACAAGTACTTCGACCAACTAGAGTTCGATCCAAAATCCCACAAATATTAAATTAGTTGGCTTAAAAAATTTCATGTTCGTCATGTCTTGATACAACAACTTATACTAGTGGCTATCAATGACATTTTACCAAAATGGGTAAGGGTAACTACAACCAAATTGTGCTTATTCTTCAATGTTATATGTAGTAAAGTCATTGATTCTAAAAAGTTAGATGAGTTGGAACATGAGGCTGCAATTATCTGGATAAAGCATAATAAAACTTTCTTAAATTGGTTTAATGAAAGAGTTTCTAAAAATAGTAATGAATCTCAGACAATTAAATGGATGACATATATGCCTAAGTTTAATGTAATAACTTAGAGTGCATACGACATTACTAAATTTTTATTCTATACAAAATCAAAGAATGATCGTAGTACCATGCAATATAGTGAAGTTATGGTTGAAGTTGAATACATGTACTTCTCTAGCTCAAAAAATAATCATGTACGAGTATCTAGAGCGTAATTTTTAGGGTCATTAAGAAGATTTTGGAGATTCGTTATGTTACTTTTAAAGTTCATTTATTTAAATGCAAATGTATTAACAATAACACTGGTTTAGAAGTCGATGGATTAGGATTCATACTAGTTGATCTTCGAAAGACAACTAATATGAACGAACCATTCATCATGGCATCCCAAGCAAAACAAGTTTGTATGTAACTGATTCTTCTAATATTAGATGGACAATTGTTCTTCAAAGAAAACATATTTCTGATAGTGATGAAAGTCAAAGATTTTAATTTTGAGACAGTTTCTTTTGCAACAGATGTGTGTCTCTTATCTGATGAAAACAATTTAGATAATATTCGTTATGATCATCAAGAAGGGATATGGATAAACTAGTAAGTAAACAGTTCAAATAACATAGTAATATATAATTTATTTCACATTTATATTTTTTTTTACTAATATTTATTTTTTTCAACATATAGAGATGTCGAAAGATACCATATGTTGCATGATTTTAGAAGTAAAAGTCTGAAAATAAAAACTCCTAAAATATGTGTTATTCTCTGTGATATTCATATATGCTTATAAATTAGTTACGTTAGTTGTAGTTATTGATGCATGTTATTAATATTGTGTTGGAATAATGTAACACGTGTGAGTAAGTGGGGAAATAGTCTCACATTAGATAGGAATGTAGAGACTTAAGCATATATAAGTGAGAGAACTTACTAACCTATCACCTTAATGTTTTAGGTGAATAAATGGTGTTGTTGTAAAAAATAATATATATTCCATTTTGATTTTGTAATTGATATAAACAACGGATATTTTTTATATAATATTTCTATTTTAGAAATTGATAATATATATTTTATTTAAAATAATAGGTTACAATGAAATATAGAAAAATAAAAATTAATAATAACGATAATTTTCCCAAATTTATTTTAATAATTCGAGGTAGTAAATTCAACCAAAGAAACATATATATTTTTTATGATACTTTTCATTAGCTCGCATAAGGTACTCTCATTTCTAAATGAAATAAAAAATATTTTCGTGATAATAATTATAATTTTATATTTAATATTATTTCAACTAATTTAAAATTAAAAGTCATTTTGCTTTATGGATATGTACCCAACTTATACTCATTGTTAAATAAAAATTATCCATTCAATTATGTTTGATTATTATATTATTTTATTAAATTAATTCCAAAAATAATAGATATACGTACTCTTTCCGTTTTAAAATAATTGTTGTTTTAATAAATAAATTTTATTTTAAAATGACTATTATATTTACTTTTCAATGTAGAAATAATAATTATTTTTTAATTATATTATTTATTTTTTACTATCTATATTACTTTTATTACATTAATAAGATTAATTTTATAAAAATGTAATATCTTATGATAACATTATTATATTTCTTAATTTGTGTGTAAAATTTTTAAACGATAATTATTTTAAAACAGAGAGAATATAAAATATTTTTATTATTTTAAAAGTGTGCAAAATTTATAAAAGTAATTCATGAGTTAAATTCTCTAGACAATAGAACTTCCGATAGATATGAGTCAATTCGATCAACATGATAATCCATTTCAATTTGAAGCATGTTGTTCATTTATTTTATTTTTTTTAATTTTTTAATTTTAAACTTTGGGTTATGATTTCAAACTTGTGAATCCACACCCTCCATAGAAAATTGTGAATTAAATAAATTATTTTATAGATGTAGTTGGAATCTTTTGTGTTGAATATAGTTTTTCAATTTAGTTCAAGTTTTGAAATTCAAAATTATGAAATCTAGAGCCTTTTTCATTGAGTTTAATTTTTGGTTTTTAAAACATATTTAAATAATTAATTTTATAAAAACTTATTTAAAGAAAAATAAGTAAAACATGTTTTTGTTTTATTTTAAAATAGTTTTAAACATGAAAATGTTATTTAAAAAAAGGAAAATAATTATTAATAAGAAAGTATGAAAGTAAAAAGATAAAAATTAAATCTCAATTACTCATTATTACCATTATCTCATGATTTCCATTAAAAAGTAAATTAAATTAAAAATAAATTTTAAATTATTCTCTAAAATAATAACAAATATAATTCTTGTCTTTCTTACTCAAATAATTCTTATTATATACATTACTTATAAAAAAATTGTTTGATAGAATATTCGTAATTGCATCTAATCGGCTCTTTTTTATATTAATCATCTTTATATTCCAATTCATATTATGTATATTTATTAGACACAATATAAATATATGTTTAATTTTCATTTATAAATATATTAAATAATTATAATTGTCATTTATAAATATATTAAATAATTATAATTGTCATACAATTATAATTATTTAATATATTTATAAACTATCAAAGTACAAAAACGCGATCAAGGAATCCAGCGTAATCAAATACAGACAAATTAAAGCATTAGTTTAGCTATATGCTTTCTTAACTTAGAACTATATCAGCCTCTATATATGATTTTATCTATAATATTGTCTTCAACATCTTTGATAATCAAATTATTGAAAGTCACATTATTCCTATAAAGTCAAATACCATATACTGTTTCGGTGAAAGCCAGCTTTAACAAAGCCCGTTTCTAGCCTTTCTTTTTCGTTTTGGCCCATAGTCCACGATAGTTCTTCTTGCCAATGAAGGGGGTCATGTTGCACCTCCATCCAAGGAACTCGATTTCTATCATCTATCATAGCTCTATACATCCTGTTCATAAAGAGTGTCATTCCAGATGAAAGATCTACATATGGCATCAATCTTGTTTATCACAAATTTCGGAAGAGGCAGGCATTATAACCAAAACTGGGTTATGGCAAATAATATGCTCTTGACAAGTTGAATCCTCCCCGCATAATTCAGCAGCCTAGAGAACCAATGCCTTATCCTGCAGATAATCCTGTCAATCGGGGGTAAGTAATGGGTGATGGGGAGCTTCTTACTAGTAAGTGGGACTCCTAAGAATTTAACAGGAAGCAAACCCTCTTCAAAACTGGTAAGCCCCTACAGTTTCAGTTTTAGATCATTCTCAATACCCCCAAAAAAATATTTTACACTTGCTAGGGTTAATAACCAAACTAGTACATGCAGAAAAATTATGAATATTCTCCATTAACAAGCCCACAGAGTTGGTATCACTTCTACAGAAAAGAAGGACATCATCTGCAAAGGTGAGGTTTATGAGGCCAACCTTGTCACACTTAGCATGGAATTTGAACTTGGGATTCTTCTGCATTTTAGTCAACAATCTTTTCATGTAATCCATAACCACAATAAAATGCAAAGGGGATAGAGGATCCTCTTGTCTAACCCCTCTACAAGCCTGCATAGATTCAGTTATCTCACCATTCACATTGAACTCTTAGGTAATTGTTTTGACTGCAATCATAATCCAAGTTATAAACTCAGTTGGCATACCAATCTCATTCATAATTACTTCTAGAGCCCTTCAGCCGACCATATCATAGGCTTTCTGGAGGTCCAATTGTGACATACACCTGGGGGCTTCATTTTTCCTAGTGTAACCCTTAATGAGCTCATAGGCTAGCATGATGTGGCTATGAATATTCTGACTTGGAACAAAGGCAGCTTGGCTAAGACTCAATGTCCCCTGCAGAACTATACCCAATCTGGAAGTTAGGATTCTATATATAATTTTGTAGAAAGTGGTGCAACCCGTAATAGGTCTATAATCCTTCACACCTTTAGCTTGGTCATGTTTGGGAATCAAGGTAACAACTGTTTTATTAAAAGGGGTAAAGAGTCTATTCTTTTCAAAGAATTCCATCACATATGCAATGACATCCGCATGAATAATGTGCCAACAAGATTTAAAAAATTTAGCACCAAAGCCATCTGCACCTGGGGCTTTTAGATCACCAATACCCTGTAAAGCTTTATCAATTTCAATAACAGTTACTTTACTATTCAAAAACTTCCTCTGGTCCATGCTAACCTGCTTCCCCTTTCTCATGGCATCAATGTCAACATGATTCAAGGTATGACTTTGAGCTCCCATAAGCTTACCATAAAACTCTTTAGCCTCCTGCATAATATCTTTTTGGTTGGACAGAATGGTACCATCATCTTTTTGAATGAACATCATGCTTCTATTGTTGTGCTTGGTTTTTAGGTAGTCATGGGAAAATGCATTATTTCCATCCCCTAACTTTAACCACTCTATTTTTGTTTTCCGCAGCATCCGCTTCTCCTCCATCTAATTCTAATGAACAACTTCCTCAGTCAGTCTTTTAATCTCCTCAGTTTTTTGACTATCAAATCTATTTAACTGAATATCATTTTGAGCAGAGAGGAGGTCTTGCCTAGTTTTGGAAATATTCTTCTTAATATCATTGGTGTGTTGATTTAACCTCTTTAAGACAGGTTTAAGTGTCTGTAGTTTATGCTACAAGATTTGCATAGGGGTTCCTCTCATAGGCTTGCTCCAATTCTTCTTTACAACCTCCTCAAAACCCTCAATCTCAACCAAATAATTATTAAACTCGAAGTTCCCAATAGGTTTCTTAGGCTTATTATCAATCACCAAAAGCAGGGCATGATCTGACACGCCAGGGGGAAGAATATGCAAAGTTATAGTACTGAAATGCTGAAACCAGTCCACATTGGCCAACAACCTATCAATATGAGAATATATAGTCCCCGAGAAATTCTTATTAGACCAAGTGAAATAATCACCAATAGTATCCATTTCACTTAGCCTAGTAAGATTCAACATATCTTGGAAATCCACATATTCATTCTCAGTAATAAGATTGCCTCTAACTTTATCTTGTGCAGTAGCCACATTGTTATAATCTCCAAACAAGCACCAAGGGCACTGCAAAGTCCTATGGGTGTTCTCTATAATCTTCCACATCCGTTTTCTGTCTTCCAAGCGGTTATGGGCATAAACAACAATTAGCCAGAATTTGAAACAGCCTATAAGGTCATAGACCCCACAGTGAATGAATTGACTAGTTTTATGGACACGTCTAATGTCAAATTTGGTATTATCCCAATTGTTCCATAATATGCCATTAGCATGTTCAGAATAATTATCCAAGTATTCACCTTTAAGGTGAAGCTTATCTCTAATAACTACATCTTTATTACTTTTGACTCGAGTTTCAATCAAAATACAAATCTCAGGTTATAAATCTAGGAGACGGGAGTTGATCTCCTTTATTTTACCAATCTTGTTTAAGCCCCTCACATTCCACGCTACCATCATGGGACCTTGTCAAGGGTCATTAAGGGGTCATTCAAAACCTTCAACACACCAAAACCATTTACACGGGCTACATCATTTGAGGATTCAAATTGACTTACCTTTTCATTTTCTTACCTTCGTCAATTCCTCTTCATTTCCATCATAGGGTATCTTTGTTAGCTCATCCTTTGGGTAGACATACTAACTGTGGAGTCCTTCTTTAACTCAACATGACGAATTTTAGGCTTCCATATCTTCTTTGTAGGCTCCTCATCACAATGATGTCCAAACTTTTGACATTTCTCATAGAATTTAGGCTTCAATTCATATTCAATTGGTTGTTTCATCTTTACCCCTTCCTTATCTTTGATCACGATCTCATCCACTAGCTTCTTCGTTATGTCAACCTCAACTAGAATCCTAGCATAAGACTTTCTTAGCCTGTGAGTTGTACATTTATCAGTTACTTGAGGCACACCTATGGAACTGCCAATCTTGTTTAAGCTCTACTCTCCCCAAAGGTAAATGGGAAGTTTGGGAAGCTTAACCCAAATTGGTACAGTCCCCAGCATATCTTGTTTCATGTTGAAATATGGCTTCCATTCTTTAAGGATCATTGGCATACCCCTAATGGTATAAGGGCCTTTCATCAAAATTGCATCCAAATCATCAAGCGTTTTGAATCTAAGGATAAAATACCCATCGTCATGATAGTACATATCTGATAGTTGGACAAAGTTCCACATCTTCTCCATGAACTTCTTGACCGAATTCATACTCAAATCTTCCCTGAGAACATACAGAATAAGGGAGTTCTTCCAATACAACAGTTCAGTGACAATATCTTCATCTTCAATTTCAACTTTAATCTCACCATTCACAATCATAGGTGCAACATAGGACACCGCTCTCCCCTTTTTATGGTTTCGATTTTCGCTGAGTATCTCCACCCACAGTTTGCGATTCTCAGGTTTTTCCATTGATACCTCATGTTGCGTTAGCTTTTCTACCAGTTCTTCCTATAGTACATCCTCCATCTTCTTGTTATGCTCTTCATCCTCATGGTTTTCTAGTATCTGCACCGGTCGTGGCTCCGGTGTAGATTGTCTTGGTGGAGACGGTGGCATCGTTGTTCTCGGACGCCTACGACCCTTCTTCGCCATTCTGAACCTTAATTCACACACATTTTTATTATTAATACAATGATTTTTTAATCCATAAGAACTTCCAATAAACCAAAAAATATAATACAAAAGCGAGAGGGGGTTGGATCAAACCCTCTCAATGAAAGAAAAATCTAAAATTAGTAAGACTTAACTTATCATGAATTATTAGAGGGTATAATAATGAAGGAGCATTATTCCAAACCAACAGGGAGTTAGCCTCCAGGTCTAAAAAAGCACCCATATTAGTGCATCTATTACCTTACAGTTAAGCCAATGAGTTCTAAGGGTCCAAGGGGCCATTTTGTCATCAAGAAAAGCAAGAAAAGAAGTTGCTGAATCTGCATCCAACTATAACTTATTCTAATTTCTATCGTGAGCAATCTCAATACATTTAATGATCCCCTAAATCTAGACATGGAAGGAAGGAGAGCAAACTTATCTTTTGTCAAATCCCAAAATAAACTCAGCCTTAGCATCACGAAAAAAACCTCCACAAGCAACTTTAGGTGACACGAAAGTGCCATCAGAATTACCTTTTATCCATCCTCTAAAGGGCGGTTGCCATAAGACCTCCACAATCTTTGGAGCATTCGGGGGACATATATTGATCTTGAATTTTTTGATGAGAGTGAAGTCCCTAATAGAGGAGTTTGAAGCTTTTTTGGATAGCTTAGCAATGAGTTTAACCTCTGTCTTGATCCAGTTCATATTTTTGTCCCAATTGGTGTTCTTGCCATCAAATATGCAAGAATTTATGGAAATCCATATAGAGTTAAGAATTGATACAATTGTAGCTTGAATAACCACTCTACACTAGGGACTCTAGTTTCTATCGCATATGTCTAAGGCATGCTTAACAGAGTCACAAGACCAGATTAGCTAGAAAGTCGACTTCTTTGTTACAAAGATTGCATATAGAGGCTAAGCAACAACCTCTTGCACACATATTTTTTCCAGTTGGCATTTTGTTGTGGAAAAGTCTCCAAACCACAAAGGCTTTTGAAGGGGGTGCCAATATTTCAAACATGCTTGTACCAAGGAGTGAGATTGGCTGGACCAACTTTGAATAGATAAGCCTCTTTCAACGAAAAATCCTCAAAGAGTTGTACTTCGAAACCATAGTGTCCTAAGTATAGTCAAGAGGAATGGTTACCTTGTTGGAAAGGTGAAGCATATCAGGGATCAAATTCAAAACAAATTCATAAAAAATCTACGCTCCATCCACAATGAAATCAACAACCTTAGTATTGAGTGATATTTGCATTGAATCCTGAATATGATTAATCAACGGAGCACCACACCACGAGTCCAACAAGAAACGCGTAGAAGAACCATTGCCAATCAGACTGGAAGAGTTAGCCATAACAACCTCAAACTCATTCTTTAAGTTGCACCAGATTGAAGAATGAATGTGATAACTACAAGGGACCATGTTCTTCAAAACTCAAGCTTTAAGTAACAATGCCCATTCCTCTTGAGAGTTTATCACATCCCAAGAAAATTTGAGATTAGAGGCATTGTTTAAAGTGATCAAATATTTCAAACCAAGCCCTCTGTGAGATAGGCTTACAAACTTTTCTCCACGTCACAGTCGCCATTTTGATTTTTTCAATCTTTCCTGACCAGATGAAATTCTTAATGCCTTTTTCCAAATACTTAAGTAGAGAAATAAGCCATGAGTACACTGAGAAGTTGTGAATCACCATTGACTGAATTGAAGATTGCACCAACTGAACCCTACCAATAAAACACAACAGGGAACCCTTCCAAGCACTGAACCTTGCCAAAACCTTTTCAGCAATAGGTTTCAGGAAACAAGATTTTTTCCTTCCTTTAAAGATAGGAACACCAAGATAGGAGAAATGAGCTGCACCAATTTTAAAACTCGTGAGATTGGAAACACGATGAAGTCTAACATCTGATACGGACCCTGCAAAGATGGTAGACTTGGCTTGATTAACTATTTGACCCAAAGCCATGACATGTATGGAAAAAAACTTGATTAGGTTTGAAACCGAGGCTTTGTTTCCTCTACAAAAGACCATAATGTCATCAACAAAGAGATAATGAGAACGCACAAAACAACCTATAGGGCCATGATTGAGCTTCAACAGATTTCTATTGACAATATAGAGATTCCCCTGCTATGAATGTCCTCGGTAATAAAAAATAAGAGGAGAGAGGGGGTCTCCCTGCGTTACCCCCTCTCACTCTCAAAGGAATTGTTCAGACATCTATTAATAGATATTGAAATCCTTGCTGATTTAAGGATAAAATAGATCCAATTGTTGAATTTGAAGTTAAAACCATAGAACTTAAGGACCTGCAACAGAAAATATTAATTTTCAGAGCAAGGTTACCACCATAGACTTTTTCCTCAAAAGATTATTTGCCTCATAAGTTAGCCCAATGCAATATCTAATATTTCTCCCCTTCATAAATCCTCTTTGCTCCTTGGAAATGATTAAAGGCATTATCAAAGCTAACCTGTCAACCATAATTTTTGAAATTATTTTAAACTTAAAGTTAGCTAAAGCAACAAGACTAAACATATCTATAATGTCAACATTACTAGTTTTAGGTAAAAGAATAAGGATATTGACATACTATAGTTAGGAAAGATCCAAGAAGAGTGAAAAAATTGTAGCACATAATTAGTGACATCTTGGTGAATGATGTCCTAGTAGTTTTGAAATAAAAAAGCACCAAACGCATCGGTTCCCGGGGCCCCATCCTTATTCATATTGAAAACAACACATTTAATCTCAGAAGGGGTAGGAATTCTTGTAAGCATGTCATTTATATCATCATTGATTAACTGAGGGATATAGTCCTCCACAAAGCAGTTGTTCTCCATAACATTATTGGACTTAGCAAAAAGATTTAAAATGATTACCACATGAGAAGTCAAAGTATATTGGTCATGGGTGAGGACAACATCAACTTTCAAAGTAGAAATGAGACTAGTAGTTTGATTGACTTTAGACATCCTATGAAAAAAAAAACTTGGTGTTTATATCCCCTTATAAAATCCAATTGACTCTAGCTTTTTATTGCCAAAAAATATTCTCCTTATGAAGCACGTCTTCAAGGGCCAACAAGGCTTCTTTCTCCTAATCTTTCAAAGCTTCAGAATAACCCTGAGCTAAGACCAAGTAATTGTGACTCTTCTTACAAAACACCAAAGATTAGGGAAACCATTGTATCTATCATTGAGGGAAAGAAGCTTAAGACCAACCTACAAAGCCAAGCTTTAGGAAACACATCATATCTCATCCAAGGCTTGACAGTAAAAGCGAAGTCAGATTTAATAGTATATATCATATTTCTAAGAGCTAATCTTAATGAGGCATTGTCTATACCCCTTATATTCCAAAAAATGACAAATAATTTCAAAGGTTTGGAGGATCTAACCTTTGATCTGGTTTCATAGATATTCTTAGACTTTAATTTGTTCTTTTTGGTTTCCCCTCTCACCAAAGAGAAACCTTGCACACCCATGGGAGGTTCAAAATAGGCTAGAAAATCTTCCTCACCATCCTCATTCTCAACCATGCTTCCCCAACAGGATTGAAGGAAATGCTGATCACTTAACTCTTTATCATCAAAAGAAGCAGTAGGGGCAATATCTTCATTAATTAGCGGTGTAGCATCCACGAATTCAGGGACATCAGAACTCTCCTCAGAGCCATATTGGAATTCGACTACCTCATCCAGAAGAGCCTCAAATCTATTTTTCATAATAGGACTACTTATCCCTCCACTAGTTTCAGGGTCCCTATCAAAAGTAACTTCCTTATTTTCTTTATCCATAACCCTATTAGCATCTGGTTCCACTTATGTAGTCTTATCCTTCCTCAAATTCTTAGGTTGGACAATGTTACCATCACTGATTTTCACATATGTTTGAGTTTACTTCTTGTTATCAACCCTGGCTTCCGCCGTCAACCTAGGGTTCAATCTTCTACACTCATCCACCACACGCCCAATAGAATTTCAATGGGAATAATAAGGAGGTAAAATTTCGTACTCAATATCAACAAAAAAGGAAAAACTTTGATAAGAGCCAAACAAAATGGAACATAAATGAAAAGATGAAAACTGAAATTTATGTAGATAATTTTGGAATATTACAACTGAAATTTATGTAGGTAATATTGGAATATTACAACACAGGTTTTCGAGAGGTTGTCTCTCCACAATTCAATTTTTCCTAATTTTCTTAAATGGTTTCCTAATTCTGGTTCGCTTCTATTTATACTACATTTAACATATGTTCTTAATTGGCACAATTAATCTGAAGTGTTGTGACTGTTAGATTTGATACTATTTGGTTTCAAGGGTTGCATCCTTTCGGTGGGTGTGTTTGTTCACCAAGGGTCACGCCCCCTAATTCGCATCTCTTGTTCTTGCACTCCTTGGGCATCGCTGCTTGCAGGTGTAAAACTTGGTGATGGGTGGCCTAGGCTTATCAATACCCCTACCTAAAAGACTCACCTTATCCTCAAGGTGATAATATGAGAAAACCTCTTGCAATTTAGCCACGAATTCCCAACTATTTTCACTTGTAGGGAGATTCTGCCATTTAACTAAGACTTCAACGTTGCCAGATTGTAATTCACGAATATCTAAAACAGAGTCTGGATAAACCTGTAACTCCTGATCCTTAGATAGCATAGGTGGTAAAGGTTGGGATTGGAAAGAATCCCAAACGGCCTTCTTGAGGAGAGATACATGAAATACTGAATGGTTTTATAGTGAGATGGAAGATCCAATTTGTAAGCAACAACACCCGCTTTTTTAACACCTGGAAAGGGCCATAAAATCGAGGGGAGGGTTTTTCATTAATCCTTTTAGCCAAGGATCTTCTCTTGTAAGGTTGCATCTTCAAGAACACCCAGTCACTGATTTCATATTATATATCTCGGCGGCATTTGTTAGCATTGCGCGTATGACATCTTGGGACTTCAACAAATTCTCTCTCAGAGCCTCCAATAATTTATCCCGAGAAATTGTAAGTTTGTTAGCTTCTTCAAGGCAGAAAGGAATGGTGGATCCCTTAAGAATATGAGGTGGATCATGTCCATACAACACTTTGAAATGGGACATTTTGCTTGAAGCATTATAATTGCTGTTAAACCATAATTCTGCACAGGGAAGACAAGAGACCCATTTCTTAGACTTAGTACTTGTTAAGCATTGTAAATAAACTTCCAAGCATTGATTGACAACTTTCGTTTGTCCATCCATTTGAGGATGGTATGCCGAACTTAATTTTAGTTGTGTACCTGCTGCTTTATAAAGGGCTTTCCAAAAATTGCTTAAAAATAAAGGATCACGATCCGAAACAATGGAAGACAGAAATCCATGCAATCTTACAATTTCTTGTAGAAAAACTGCAGCAACATCGATAGCGATATAAGGATGCCCTAATGGTATGAAGTGAGCATATTTGGTGAGCCGATCAACCACCACCAGAATTGTATCCTTCCCCGTGGATTTGGGTAGTCCTCCAATAAAATCCATCGAAATGTCTGTCCATACTTGAGTAGAAATTGGTAATGGCTGTAGCAGTCCTGCTGGTGATAAGTCGTCGCTTTTGTTCCTTTGACAGACTTTGCAAGCTGCAACGAAATTTTTTATGTCGGTTTTCATCCCTTCCTAATAAACTAGATCTATTATTATTTTATAAGTCTTGAAGATTCCTGAGTGTCCTCCTACCAAGGATGAATGAAATTATTTCAAAATGATAGAAATTCTGGAGGACGATTTGAACAATACCAATTTCTCCTTGTAAAATAGTTTTTGATCCCTTAATATGTAGCCGGCATGATACATGGGATTGATAATTAGGTCTTGCATGATTTTCTGTAACTTGACATCTTGTTTGACTTCTTCATCCCATTCCTCGAAATCGTGATTTGTAAGACTGTCATGGCACAATAAGAACTTCTCTTGGCTAGGGCATTGACGACATAGTTTTCCTTCCTTGGTTTATACTGTATTTCAAAATCACATCCTACTAATTTGGAAATCCATTTGTATTGTTCCTCACCGATCATCCTCTGATATGTCAAAAATTTCAAACTTTGTTGGTCGGATTTAATAATAAAACGGTTTCCCAATAAGTAGTGTCGCCATTTCAGGACAACTTTTACGACTGCTATCAATTCGCGATCATACAATGATTTCCTCTGATTCCTTTGTGATAGGGTAGTACTCCAAAAGGATAAGGGTCTTCATTCTTGCATTATAATAGCCCCTAGTATGATTCCACAAGCATTCGTTTCAACCACAAAAGGCTTTGAAAAGTTGAGTACTGCTAATGTAGGAAAATTGGTCATGGCTTGCTTTAGTTGTTCAAATGCAAGTTGTGCCTATGAACTCCATTGGAAGGCTTTTTTCTTCAACAGGTTGGTCAATGGCCTTGCTATTCTTCCATAATCATAAACGAACCTCCTATAATAGCCAGTAAGGCCTAGGAATCCCCTTAAGCTGGTGACATCTTTGGGTGAAGGCCATAGCGTCTTTGCTTCCAACTTCTTAGGATCTGTGAATACTCCTCCAGCAGAAATAACATGTCCCAGATATTCCAAGTTATCTTGGCTAAATGAGCACCTCTTTCCGTTGATCTTTAATTCATTTTATTGGAGTAACGTTAATACATTTTGTAGATGTGGCTTATGTTCTTCCATAGAAGGGTTGTATATTAGGATATCATCGAAGAATACTATAACACGGTGGGAGAACTGACTTGAGATATTTTGCATTTGATCGCAATTATTGCGGTTAGCAAGAGTCGCCACCGACTTTTCTTTTATCCAATGAAGGAAAGGGTGAAAAGAACAGGAAATACCTTTGAGATTATTTTCTTGAGTTCGGGGGGTAGATTATGAAAAGGGAATGTGTTAGCACCCTTTTCATCCATAGTTATCTATGGGCTCTTAGTTGCTTGCTAGATCACTTGCTTTGTTTTAAAGTGTGCTTTGTGGTAGTTTTTGAAAGTATTTTTGAAAAGCACCTTCGTTTAGGCAAACTTTGTAGTGGTCCTCGTCTTATAAGAACGTATACAAAGTGTTGGACTTTTGAAAATATTTCATGTTTTGAAAGCGTTTGGTGGGTGTTTGCAAGGATGTTTGTCTTGAAAATACGCAAGCAACTAAGAACGTTTCTACCTACTCAAAAGTCTTTCATTCATTTCCTCCCTTCCTTTGATATTGCTATCTCACCATTGATTGGTAAGAAGCCTTATCTTTGGATGTAAAAATGGACGGGCGTGGGTCATCGTATAGTCATGATAGCAATGTTGTGAGATATCTTAGCATTTCTCTTTGAGGGACTAAGATCATTTGAAAGGAAACATTCGTAGCGTCATCGAGGGATTATGATCTTGTATTTTTGATTGTTTTGCTAAGATGTCTCACATGCATAACATGACCATTTTTTAGGCAACAAGTGGAGTTAACCTTAGGGGTGCATGTGTGACTAGTGTGTTTGATTTGCATGCATTTAGTCTTTGATTAGGGTTGTCTACTTGTTGGTTTTATCTTGCCATACAAATCCTAATTACTAGCATTTATATGAAAGCGATAAATCACGGAAAGTAAATATTCTATGCTATTACAATCATTAGGGGAATGGGGTGTACAAATTTAGAAATAGGGATTCGTAAGAAATTAAAGTCCTAATTATCTATTACAACCATATTGAAATAATGTATAAGAAATGAAATGTAAAAGTGGATTAGTTTGGTTTTGGCTAAGAAATAAATAAATTTGCTCAAGAAAATATTTATAGTCTTTTGATTTTAAAATAAATAAAATAAAGTATGTGAGTATAAAAATATTTTTTGGTGTTTTTGATTATTGAAAATAAAATGATGATAAAAATAATAAGAGGAAAAGGGTCAGAATCAGCGCGTTGCTGAAATAGGAGAGAACAAAAGTTCTGACTCTGGGTCCGGGTACACTAAAGTTCTGGGGTTGCTGGGAACAAGGGAAATCTTAGGAGTTCTGATGCAACTGGCAGCCTAGAAGTTCTAATGTTACTGGAAGGTCAGAAGTTCCGGTTGTTGAGCGAGTCTGGAAATTCTGATGTAGCTGAAAACCTAGAAGTTCTAGTGTCACTGGCAAGCTAGAAGTTCTGATAATGGGTATGTGAGGTGTCAATGTTGTTGGATGGGAATGTCTAGAAGTTCTGGTTCATGATTACTATTTTGACAAGTAATTAAAGGGGATTGATCTAGAAGTTCTGGTCCAACTAATGGGGTAAAAATTTCAGAATATAAACATAAAAAAAGGTGTTTCTGGGGCTAGAATTCAGGACCCTTAGCACTAATGTCTTATGCACACGCTCTCTACCACTGGGGTGGCTATACATCCGGTATTAGAAGCAAAAACATAAACATATATTACAAAGTAAGCTTTGATGATGAATTTCATCTCCTTCTCCACGCCAATTAGAGTATCTGCAGCTTAGCCATTTCTCAACAAAATAGAAAATGCACACATAGCAGTTATGGCAGGTTTCATCATGGTTTCAGAAATATAAAGTATCAGAACTGTAAATCAGAAACAAGTATGAATTTTGCTAATCCTAATTCTGAATACTAATTTCCTCAAAAAGTTGTGAACTAAAATTCTCTCTACTTAGGCAAAAAATACATGAAATCTATGAATATGTACAACATCAGAGTCATGATATTTACATTGTCTTTTTGGACATGCAAGTCTATCAATGCCTAAGTAATGAGATAAAAGTTAGAAGATAACTTACCTTGCAGCTGTAAATTGTTCTGTGAACTAAAGCCTGGT